AATTAAATTAGAGAAAGGTTAAGAATAATCCCTTACTTTACTTTTTTAAGGGAAACACTGTTTATAAGTAGAGTTACACTGATAATCCCAAACTTTATGTTGGTAGAACTTTATGGAGGTTGAAGCCAAAACTCATTCCCACTGAATAAACTCATTGTCTGTCTGTTTAATTTGCCAATGTTTCAATGATCTCCATCAGTTCCTTGTAAGATCTCATGACCATGTTGAACAGACAACCATTTGTACAGCTTTAAAATCTTGAGACGCTCTATTCAAGCATTTAGGAAAACAAGTAATTCCGGTTTGGGGAAATAATAGTGTTCCACCACTCTGCACTACCATGTGCCTGAAAATGACAAGCACTTGTGTGGTTTGTGTCTGCGTAATAGCAGGCCTGTAGACTGCTGTCAGTCAGGTTGCTGGTCTGGTTAGGAAAGTCATTGCTTTATGCTGGGCCGTGCCATTTTTACACATCTCTTGACATTTGTTTGAAGTTCAAAGCTGCTCTCCTCACCCCAGCGCGGGAATACTCTGGAGGTCTCTGTGCTGTGCTCACGTAAACCTTGGTTGTGTTTGAATAACCTTGGCTTGTAATTTGTAAAACTTCTGTTTGCGTTGAATCTGGTGGCTAGTGGCAAAGTACAACCTACATGTGATGTGTCTGTCAGTATGACAACGTTCAATATGTGTAATGCGTTTGGTGACCAGACATCTTTTACATCGCTACACTAATAATTTGTGCAAGTCTCAGCCCAGTTGGGCTCCGTGGGTTTGAGGTTGCCATTATGCTTCTCCAGGCTAACACTGCCCACTGAAGAGTTGCGATATAATATCCTGGAGGACTGTGGGAAACACATTTTGTGATCTGATGAATGTCTGAGCGAATCAATCTGTTCTATTAACATTGTTGGCTCTGTTATGGGGGGTGGAGGGTGAAGATATTAAAAGGAGAGATGACAGCAATTGGAAAAGACCACAAAGTGGATCATTCTGCTATTTAACTTCGAGCCAGCGGATTAGACTCATAGCTTTTCTTAAGGTTCAAGAAATTGGTTTGATAAATTAAATCTTCCAGTCTCATGACCTAATCATTATTTGATAATTCTATGACTGTTCGGCTGAAGCAGAGTTTTGAAGCAAGACCATAAGCACTATAGACATTGAAGGGAACAATATTCAAAGTAATGCTTGAGTTATGTTTTTTTCATTTTGTCATTCACGCCAGGTGAATCTTGTCAGGTCAAATTGTGTCTGGTTAGTATTGTCAAAATCGGTGGCTATATTCATTTTGTGGCTATATTCATAATGCTATTTATGAATCAAAGTACAGCCCTTGAATTAGGAAAACCTGACATCTATAGAGAGTGAAATTAATCTGAGGGAGCATTGAGCCAAGGCGGAGCCCTTGGGTCGGTGGACTGAGGTGGAGTCCGGGGCTCTGTGGCTGGAGACAGAGACGGGATCCTCACGAGGTGGAGCTGGGGACTGGAAGAGCAGAGACCGATCCGCCACACTGCAGGGGACCAACTGTGGATGAGCCAAAGGACTGCCAGGGATCAGCGGAGGAAGGGCTGATGAATGGGCTGGATTTGGTAGAGGAGAGGGAGGCTGGGTGGGCACGCAGGAAACTTTGGAGACACAGGAAACTCTGGGCTGGGCGGGACCAGCGGTAATGGGAGGTATAAGGGTATCACTTCCTCAAATAAATCCCAAAAATTACCTCTAGGCTGGGTGGGGCTTCCATTCAAGTCCACATGCTCCACTAGTACTCCCTCGGGGACGGGCGTTGTTGCAGTCTCGTACACCTGGTCAGACGTGTCGATGGGCACAGGCTCCGGGGCGGTGGAGTTCTGCTGTAGCTGACTGGCCTCTGGTTCTGGAGTGGGAGTTGTTTCCTCCGACGGGGCGATGGTGCATGCCGAAGTAATGTTCACCAGTACCCACTCTACACATCCGGTGAAGTTGTCACTGGGACCGCTCCCTGGAAGGCGTGCCCTGGATCACTCGAGAGGTAAAACACGCAGAGCAAGTGGTCTGGATAGTGCGTTTGGCACGCCAACTCCAAAAAGTCCCTGGTATGTGGTTCCAGGGAGGGGTCTTTCTGCTCCAGACATAAAAGCTGGACAGCGGGGAGCTCCGTGGTGACTAGAAGTAGAAAAGAAAAGACGCTGCAAAAATGATCGCTATATTGGTCCTGTCTTCTGTCACGTGTGGCTGTATAAAGCGCATGAAGACAAAGGAGATCAGCAGTTTTCAATCCAATAAATCCAACAGGCAAGGAAAACTCAGGAAACAGAATAATACAACCACGTAAAACACTGACAAGACAGGACAAAGGAGTGAACAAAACAGGGAGTATATGAGACTAAGGCCGTGTGTCCACCAAAGCGTTTTTCCACGCGCCTGGCGTATGTTTTCAATTGTTTTCAATGGGAGCGCCGCGTTTTTGGAACGCCATGAGCGTAACGAGGCGCTGAGCGTTTTTTTTCACGCTGAAGCGCTGAGCGCTCGGCGTTTTTACAGGTCGCCGAGAGTTGAAGAATGTTCAACTTTGGGTAAAACACAGCGCTCATCACTGTCACTTTTTACCCAGCCGTCCAATCACAGTGGAGGAGGGGCGGGACCTATACCACACTGACCAACTGTCACAACATTCTTTCTGTACAACCAAGGGGGTAATCCATCGACCGGAAGTTGAAGCCGGCCGGGTGCCGCCATGTTGTAGCAGAACTTCTCTTGCGTTAGCATTTCCATTGACTCCCATTCATTTTGGCATCACTTTGACAGCGAATAACTTTACATCTGAGGCGTTTAAAGACTCCATTTGTCCATTATTTATTTCTAAAGAAACACGACAATGTATAAAGGGCTCCATTACCTTCTATGTTACATTATGGCCCTGTAGAAACAGATTCAGTAAAAATAGGCTAACGATTGCGTCATAACCACTCGACTCTCTGTCGCGCTGTACAGAAATTACCGTACAGACAGCAGGAGAAGCTCGCAGGCAATCGGGGGGACGTCCCGTCAAGGGAGAAGCCCATAGATAATGAGTCCATAAAAGCAACGGAATTCTTACTCCTGCTCACTCACGCCAAATAACTCTTTGCTCAAGTTCCCCGTCTCTGCAAGATTCACGTTGGCAATTTTCACGCACAGCTACTAGAAGATTAACGTCTGTCAGACAGGTTGCTCACGTCATCAAGCTTAGTTTGAGTCGGTTTGAGTCTGCGCGTCAGGAATGGAAGTGCTCAAAAATCGCTAAAAATGGGCTTCAACTGTCTCAACTGAGTTCCAATGAGATGCCTCTGTCCACTTCTTATACTGTCTATGTATACAACGACGACATCAACCAGCAGAGCTAACCGAACAAAATGGATGAAAAATTCATTTTTAGTATGAAACAAATTATCTGCGAAATCAGTTACAAGTAAACTGTGCTGCGGATATTCTGTATCATAGCAACGAAACGTCTCAACGGAAAAAACGCTGTGCTGCCAAAACGCTCTCAAGCGCCCACAGCTAGGCGTTTTCAGCAGAGCGTCTAGCGTTTTCAGCTGCCTAAAAACGCTTTGGTGGACACACGGCCTGAACTAATGAGATGATTAACGAACACCGGGTGAACAGAATAAGCTGACACAGACTTGTTGGAAACTATAGGTCACACAGGAAAGCAGGGATAACCAAAACACAATGAAACATACCAGACATGTTACATTGATTACAATATTTTTTTTCTCAACCCATGCAAACAAACCAACAAAATCTGTATTTTTTGGGCGGTTTCAGATAATGCTAATGTGCATTCAAAAGTAAACAAAATAAACATTCTGTTTATTATAAGCACATTCTGCAGTTATGTTGTCACTTTAAATGCTCAAACGCTTCAAAATCAGTCCTCTGAGTAATTATCGCTGTGGTGTAGACTTCCCTATTCTCACAGAATTGGAGTGATTATTAATATTATAGAATAGTTATCATCGTCCTTGGTGTGAAGATGTTTGTCAAGAATTGAGTTGCTGATGGTTTAAATGTTGATGAAGTTTTGGTCGTTAATAATATAATTTGTCTGTTTGATGTTAATACACGTAAAATCTCAGAGTAGGTTATCATTTCTACCACAATCAACCTACACAGTCAGACACAAAAATAGAAGAGTGAATGAATGGGACAGCTTAAGCATTAGAGAGAAGTTTAATTAAGTGTATTGAGCATGTGTGCGTGAGCAGGAAGCATTGAGGAAATGCAGACGATTCTGCATGTTAGCGAAATACAGCAGTGCCATGTCAGCAGGGAGTCACAGGGCACCTTAATTAGCCTCTCTTATTCTGTGCATCTCTATTTCCGTCTGTCTCTCTTATGCTGTGCCTGTGTCCGGCTCCCATCTTTCTCCCCATAGCTGTATTTGTCAGCTCTACTGTCATTGTAATGCTCTGGGTCGTCAGCCAAATCTGGCTGCGCTGCATAACCTGTCCTGTCCCTGCATGCAGTGCTGCTGCCTACACACGAATGAGATGTGTGTCCTGTGTGTTGATGCTCTACAGCGTGTGGTGTTATTTTTGCAGTGCACATATCGAACACCACGTGTCGTGAACACATCATCACAGTAGTGCGATACACAACAAGCAGTTGTGCAAACAAGGAACCAGGAATGTGTGTGTGTGTGTATTACCTCACCTTTATGTTAAAAGGGCGTTCTGCCTCCTACACTTATGGAATGAGTGATTGTCTTTTACTAATATTGGTGGCTTAACTGGTGTTATGTTCATTTGTGAATAATGGACACACACACAGTATCCACAGCATGAATCCCTCAAGATTAATTAAAGATTTGGAAAAGCAAAGCTGAAGTTGAATGCCAATAAGTCAAACATGGACTCACTGACACAGGAAACAGCTCGTCTTCTCAACACCAAGCACCCACAGATCGTACTGAAGTGTTTACAGATCCCTTTTATGGATAAAATATTTCTTTAACTGGTATGTCCTGTGTGTTCCAGGGCTGTTGGGCTGCAAGCGCTTCAGAGGCTTAACACTGAACTACAGTTTATTGCTGCTGGAGGAGGAGACAGGCATGTTGTACGTGGGAGCTAGAGGGGCTTTATATGCCCTGCAGGCTAGTGACATCTCCAGCAGCTCTCCGCAGACTGTACGTACCCACAAAACACATCAGCACTTCATTACAGAGCTTGCCAGCCAGAACTGTATTGATATTCCTGAAATATCCTATTTTTATTCCTCTTCCCCTCTAAAATATTCTGTAATTAATTCATCAAAAACTGATTAAGATGCAGACTGCATTCAAATATTATGTGTATAATTTCAGTGTTGCCATCTATTTTTGGTTTACCGTATGCAAACTTTATACTTTTTGAGAAGTGTAGAAATTTGAAAATCTCCTGGGAATGTACATTGCTAGTGGCCTTTCATACATGATATGGAACAAAATGCACATCATGAGATGTATTTTAAAAGTATATTAAGTTGATGCTTTGTCAAAGACCACCTTCTAGAGCAGTGGTTCTCAACCAGGGGGTAACTTAAACGATTTACACAAATTCAAGACAAAACAAGCATTAAAATAAGCTAAAACAACTAAAAATCAAGATGCTTCTTATTTTAATTCAACCCCTCAAAAAAAAAAAGAAGAAGCTGGATATGTCTTGACCTTATAGACATGGAAAAGTAATGAAAATTATTATCAATTTTTATAATCAAACTCCATAAACCTTTTGGGTGCAATTCTGAGGGGAAAATGCAGAACATTGAGTTTATATCTCACAATTCTGATTGTTTTTTCTTGCAATTCCTTGCAATTATGTCTTACAGTTCTGAGAAGAAAAATCAGAATTGCAAGATATAAACTCAATATTCTGCGAGTTTATATCCCACAATTCTAAGTATTTCCTTCTCAGAATTGATATATAAACTCGCAATTACAAGAAAAAAGTCAGAATTCTGAAATAAAAATGTTATAGGTTTAAATATTTCATCCTGTAACTATAGGGCTAATACAGTATGTACTGCATATGTGAATATAATGTAGATGATAGAATATAATTTGTCCTCTGCATTTAACCCATCCAAGTTAGTGCACACACATTAGGAGCAGTGAGTAGTGAACACTTCCTTGTTCAAGGGCACCTCAAGTCATTTCCTGTTGGTACTGAGAATCAAACCCACAAGTCCGACTCTCTAACCAATAGGCCCAAACTGCACAAACTATTGTGTACTGTTTAAAAAAAAAAAAAAAGAATTCTAAAAAAAATCCTTAATCAGCTCCTTGACATCACGGCCACTATGACATCACTGTGATATTTGCATGTTGATTTGTGATTGGTCTTCTTTCTTTTTTATACTTTCTTTTATATCTTACATAATATTGGTGCAAGAGCACTGCAAAGGAGAACAGATAAATTATGTGTTGCAGTATCCTAAATTTAAAGGGATAGTTACTTACCCTCATGTTGTTCCTAACCTGTATAACTTTCTCTCTTTTTTGGAACACAAAAGAAGATATTTTGAAGAATGTTAATGACCAAACAGTTTTGGTGACCATGGACTTCCATTGCATTTTTTGTCCATACAATGGAAATCAATGGGAACCAAAACTGTTTAGTTACTAACATTCTAATTTTTGGGTGGACTATCTCTTTAAAACTTACAAATGGTTTTAATAAAAATGCTTTTAAAGATCACCAAAGACCACTTTTTTATAATTTTTAACTTCTTTCCTCCTGAGAATCCCTGAGAATTTTGTTTCACTGTGTTCCACTTCCAGCTAATGCACAGTAGGTTACTGTGAGAGTTGTTTGCAAACATCCGTTAGTACAATTTGGCACCGCAACCTAGAGCAGGAAGTTGTTTTGCCAGGAAAACATCTTTACAAGTCTTGACATTTCAAGAATTCTTGTTAATCTTTTACTTGGACAGATTGACTGGGAGGCATCAGACGAGCAGAAGCAACAATGCTTGAACAAAGGGAAAGATAACAAGGTTAGTCAAGATCTCCATCCATTGTGTTCTCATCTCTAGTACACATACTGATGTAGACTTCCTCATCCTAACAGACGGAGTGTTACAACCACATACGATTCCTGCAGAGGTTCAACAGCACACACTTGTACACTTGTGGAACACATGCTTTCAGCCCTCTTTGTGCATACATAGTAAGTAACTGTAATGGCTACATTTTAAGTCTCTTAACACCCAGAACTCTTACTTTAAGTTGAGAACCTTCACATTTAGGATTGTCTAAATAATTTTGTTGCGTTTTTCAGGATGCGAGGGAGTTTAAAATCTCGTCAGCCTTCGAGGAGGGTAGAGAGAAATGTCCATATGACCCTACCAAAGGCTACACTGGCCTGTTAATTGGTATGGCATCAATAAACAAGCAAAATACATTTCGTCCTTGGATATTAATAATATTAAAATCTTTTTAAGCTATATTTCTTTCTTGAGCTATATTTTGGCCCTCTGTTTCCCTTAGATCAGCAGATGTACACAGCATCTCAGTATGAGTTCCGGAGCTTTCCAGATATCCGACGCAACTCTCCGAATCCCACATTGAAAACAGAAGAGGCTCCAACTCAATGGCTACAGGGTGGGTCTACTGCAGCACATTTTATTTGTAAAATATTTCATCCCTCACCATCAACATTACCGTATGTTTGGATCTCTCAAGTCATAGTAGGTTAATAATATTTGGACATTTAACAGTACAGTGGCGTCCACAAGTCTGAGTCCACCATTTAAACTGGGAAATACTCAAAGTTGTAGAATGATTTTAAAAATAAAAACAAAATAAAATTTGGAAAATATTTAAAATTCTGGATTATATTAGGTCACTAATCAAATGGTTCTCCACTGTATGTTTACAAGTCAAAAATGAAATTTTAAATGCAAATATAATATAATCATATATTATATAGATGTAGCAAGGTTAGATGTTGTGGGAAGAAGGAGGAGAACGTTTCACAACTTTTAATAAAATAAATAAACAAATACAAAACGAAAGTAAAGGCAGCAGTCCCTCACAGACGACTACTGCCACATATAATAAAACAGAAACACAACATAAAATCCAGGCCTGGCCTCTCTCATCCTTCACTGTCGTCGCTCCTCCTTAAATGCTTCTGCTCCTCATGAGAGATACGAGACCGATGCGTCACGCAGGTGTCGCTCATCAGCAATCACGCCACCGGCCTCGCACCGTTCTTTCACGGCCCTCGGCCGCGTCCTGCTCGCCACAACAGACTACCATTCAAAAGTTTTTATTTAAAAGGAATTAATACATATATTCAGCAAGGATGCATTAAATTGATCAAACGTAACAGCAAAGACATTTATAATGTTCTAAAAGATTTCTATTTCAAATAAATGTTAAGCAGTACAACTGTTTTCAATATTGATAATAATAATAAAAAAATCTTTATCATCAAATTAGCATGATTTTTGAAGGATCATGTGACACTAAGGATGGAGTAATGATGCTGAAAATTCAGCTTTGCATCACAGGAATAAATTAAAATTTAAAATACATTAGAACAGAAAACAGTTATTTTAAACTCTTAATAATATTTCGCAATACTACTGTTTGTACTGTATTTTTGATCATATAAATGCAACCTTGGTGACCATAAGAGACTTCTTTGAATACATTAAAAAGAAGTTGAACGGTAGTGTAGTTACTTTAGTATAATAATAAAAAAGATATTTACTTTTAATTAAGCATTTTAATGTGCAGTATTGCATTATATTTTTATTTCACTTGTCAGTATTGTGGAGTGATGTACTAACAGCAATCTACTGTCATATCCCACACAGAAGCTGATTTTGTGGGCTCAGCGCTGGTGAATGAGAGCGTGAGCAGCTCAGTGGGAGACGATGATAAGATTTACTTCTTCTTCACCGAGAAGACCCAAGAGCTCAGTCCATACTTCAGTCACAGCAGAGTAGCACGGGTCGCACGTGTGTGCAAGGTACGAGACTACAGAGCATCTCTTCACTCCACCCGTCACTGTACCTTTTCTTTTTCATGTGACTCTAAATTAAATAATTTAATTGAATTCTTAAAATTAGTAGGTGTAAATCCAGAGTGTGGTAAATATGCTTTGCATAGTAAAGTGGAACAAAAATGGTTGAGAGTTTAATCTCTTCCACGGGGGATGGAACAAATATTTTATTCTCTCCACAAAATAATGATTCAGATGGCAAGACATGGTCCTCGCATTTAATTTTTTCAGAGACATCCATTGCCCTGCCCTGAAAAATAACACACATACACAAAAGTTCTTCACAAATGTGTTTTTAAGCGCTAAACTGTTTCATTCACAGCATTGTAAGGGTTCTGTCTTCAAAATGTATTTGAAGTGTGGTTTTCTACAGGTTTTCTAATAGGGTTTTACAGCAGTGTGGTTGCCAGGCATTTCTCTCTCTCTCTCTCCGATGGCTCCCATCCCACGAGACTCGCCTGTCTGTCTCGCTTCTCAACCCATCAGTCTAGCTCTACACATTCAGATCAAAGTGCCAATTGAACATGTCTGCAATTTCACATCTTTTCAAGACTGCTACTCTACAGTGTTTATTTACCATCCGATCTAGCTGTCTGTTAGCATAGGAGATTATAAATTGTGAGTGTATTTGGGTTCAGCTGACATTATTGTGAAATTAGACATAACCACACAGAATTAAGTTGCATTTTTCTTTATGGGGATGCGTGTGAATTCAACTTTTCTTTCAAATGGGTTAAATCCTTTTTACGATAATATAGGCTACTACATATCATATAGAGTACACTAAATATACAACAAAAGTCTATAATTTGATACTTTAATGAAATAATCAATTTGTTTTTCAGTTTTTAAATCAGTCGTACAGTTTTTATTTTACAATTGCCCCTGACTCCCAGCTGTGATACATTTTTGTAAAGTAGCCACCAGCAAACTACTAGCAGCTGTCATTCATATAAACTTTTACCCAAATAACCTCCACTGTCATTTAAATGTTTGAGGATTGTTTTTGAAAAAAGTCCCATATGCTCATCAAGGCTACATTTATTTGATAAAAACAAAACAAAAAACGTAATATTTGAAATAGAATTAATTATCAAGATTGAAAACTGTTAATATTTTTGTGGAAAAATGTTTTCAGGATTTTTTGATGAACAGAAAGTTCAAAAGAACAGTCATTTATTTAAAAGAAAAATCTTTTTTAACATCATAAATGTCACATACTGTCACTTTTGACCAATTTAGTGTCCTTGCCGAATAAAACTATTAATTTATTTCAAAATGAATAAATGAAATCGTATTGACTTTTGAACAATAGTGTACATAATAGTAGCTTAGATAACATAGACTGAATTACACTGTATTCAAGTGGATTGAGGCCGGGGCTGGTGAAGTGTGTTAAGCAGGCTGAGGATTGAGGGTAAAAGCAGTTCTCTGTTGCAGTTCACACAGCAGGGTCACATTAATGAGTAGATTATTGTTCATTATCCACATGCTAGTGGGGCTGAGTGCTGTTAATACACACTAACTGACATTGAGCTGGGGGGAAAGCCATAATTAAGGATAGTAACTCAGTTGCTGTGAGTGAAAGCTTTTATTGAGACTTTTTACAGACAGTTAGTTTCTTCATACTGGTGTCGGCTAGGCACATCCTTATTTTGAGTTCCTGGGTCAACATATTCCCGTTTGAAAATTCTATATCCATAACTTATCCCTAAAATCAGAGGGAAACTATAGGTGAATAGCACTGATGTAGAAGCACCTAACCCTGATTGTAAACCTAAATTTCCAGGATCTGTTTTTCCAGGATCAACTAAGACGTTGATCCAGGAATATGTTGTACTTGGCGAAATCAGATTTTGCATAGGCTAGAAATTTTTAAATCTCCAAAAATATCTGCAGTGGATTATTGTAAAGAGTTTTGTGCTCTGGTTTCATATCACCATACATCTGCTTCTGAATATCACCAGTTGAGAAGATGGCATCATGAATCAACAGTCAAAAGCCTTTTTTTCCCACAGTGAATTTAAGGCCATTACATTATAATGTCAGTACTATTACTGAAAACTAAGTATTGGAGAAACCAAGAATTGCTAAGAAGCTTTGGGTCCCGTCAAAGTCATTCCTCCATGAAGATTTATTTTCCTCTTTGGAGGCAGCATGGAAAATTCACTTTATCCCCCTGACATGATGGGGGATTCCTTTACATGCAAAACCCCCCATCCAATTTAGTGCATTTCCTTTTCCCACAGTCACACTGACAAAAATGTTAGCTTCCAAAAGCCATGCCAATAACCAGTGATCCCTGTTAAAAATAAGTTATAGGCTTTCTTCAGCTGTTTTCGCAATGCACTTGAGTTTTCTAATAGTGTTAAATTATAAACGTTTTTTTTATAATGTTTTTATGTCACTAGATGCGCCTAATGAAAATTATTTTTATTGTGTTTACGTTTACGGTTTACTTTTATTTGTAAGTGGCTTCATATGCTTAATGAATACATGTTAAATGTAGACCCTCTTTCAAAAGTTTAGGGATGGAAAGAAGTCACCAAGGCTGCATTTATTTGATAAAAAAACAAAACATTTAAACAGTAATATTTAAAATGACTGTTTTCTATTTTAATATATTTTATAATGTAATGTATTCCTGTGATGGCAAAGTTGAATTTTCAGCAGCCATTCTTCAGTGTCGAACTTTTGAATGGTAGTGTTTTCTGGAATCTGCTGTCTTATGATTTTCCCTCAGCTGTTTTCTGTTCTTCATCTTGTAGAGAGACAGAGGAGGTCTTCTCACGCTACAGAAGAAGTGGACCTCCTTCCTGAAGGCACGTCTGGCGTGTTCTTTACCGGACTATGAATTTCACTTCAACGTGTTGCGGAGTGTGTTTTTTCTGGAGGGCTCCAGCTCTCAGGACTCTGTTTTCTATGGCATCTTTGGCCTGGAATGGTAAGATCACTTTTGTACAATCCTTCAATATCCATCTTTCGCATAATGGGCTATTCATCTACTTGCAATTGGCTTTTGATGTCCATTACATTTGTTATCTGTCATGATGAACGCCACTTCTTCTGGTTCTACTTCTCAGAATGACTGGATCTTAATGATCTGCAGTGGGTTCAAGCTCTTGAACTCTTAAATTAAAGCAAACCATATTTCTTAAATGATCCTGGCAGTTGTGTATGGAAGCTTGAAGTGTGTTGCCGTACATGCAGGGTGGCATGCAAATGACACCTCAGTCGATAATGATTAAAGGATTCTGCGAGGTAGCATCGTGTCATTTTGCTGTGACTGTTGAGTTTGTTGAAATAGATTTTGTCTATTAGTAAGTTCATCTGTCAGCCTGGACACAGGCTTTGCTTTGGCTTATTCTGGCCGTATACATCAAGTGAGGCGACAGCATTTACAGTCCACCAGGATCATCAGAATGAAAATCGCTGACATGTCCTCTGGCTGCCTGCAGCACAAAGCATGTTTTATTCATAAGCAGATCACAATCTCTCAGGAGATCAGAAAATTTGCTCTGGACACGTATAGCCAGGCTTTGACTCGTCATTGATAAAACTGTAAAATCCTAAAAGTTGTTCTTTGAAGCTTGAGGGCCACATTTCTATTTTTGTCAGCACGAGAGTAAAGAATTTTCCTTTCACGCATATTTTCAGTGCTAAACTGGTTATAGCACATAGGTCAGGTCACACGCGCGTTACGTCTGCCGTTGTGACTGACATGACAGTTTTGACGCCCTGCTGAAACCAGAGGGGAGGTTCTGATGAGCTGCCAGGCAATCAGTCTGTGGGTTGCGGCTGCCTGAGGTGCAAACCGCAAACATATGAGTAACAGTGATGAATGACAGGACTGGATGAACCATAATGTCTGCTACTGCTACTCTAGAAAATAATTAGGAAGCAGAAGAAGAGTGAGCAAAACAAGGACAGATAAATAAAATGAGAGTGAGTGCGTCTGCTGAGCTGATCACACTGACCTCTGGCAGGGTAAGGTTGAACGACTGTTGTGTCACCATGTCATCAGTTTGGGTGTAAAGTTTACATTGACGTGGGTGTTTGTTTTCCTGAGCATTAGGCAAGTCTGAATCAGACATGGAATCTCCAGTAAAAGACCTTTTCTCTTAAAGGGATAGTTCACCCATAAATGAAACATTTAGGTTTCCAATCCTGTTCCTGGAGAGTTCAGATCCAACCCTGACACAACACACCTGTCTGTAATTATATTGTAATCTTATTTAGCTGGTTCAGTTGTGTTTGATCAGGGTGGGATCTGAACTTTGCAGGAAGGTAGATCTCCATGAACAGGATTGGGCACCCCTGGATTACATCATTTGATCATGTTGATGATTTTTTTGTGTGGACTCAGGCTCCATTTGTGTGGACTCAGGCTCTATAAAACTGTATATAGCACATTTTTTTGTGCTATATACAGTTTTATAGACATTAAATCTTATAAATCATATATCAAATAAACCCATTGATCTCTCAAGACAATCTTGAAATTTCGCTAAAAATCGCAAAGTAGCGTTACCCTGATGATACAATTAAATCAGCAGTATTTGCAATGACTAGGCATATTTCAAGGCATAATGTAACATGTACTTTCCACTATATCCGGACCCCCCCACCCCACCCCATCCCATTTTCGGGAGTTTCTGTTATTATCTACTGTCAGTGTATGGAAAAGAGCAGCTTGGACATTCTGCTAAATTTCTCCTTTTGTGTTCCATCGACAAACAAAATCATGTGGGTTTTAAATGACACTGGGTGAAAAGATTGACAGATCTGTAATGTGACAGAATTGTAATTTTTAAATGAAGTATCCCATTAAGCTACTATTGGGAACACTTTCCCCTCCAGTGCTTTTTTAACCTACAGTCACTTCTAATAAGTGCCCCTTCCTCTTTTTCTCAATAGGTTTGCACTGATCACTTGAGGAGCTTTGTCTATGTTCCTGCCCCCCCCCTCCCCCTTCACCCACTCACTGTCATTCCTTACCCACTCACTGTCATCCCTCACCTCTCTCACACACTTTTTAATAAATTTGTAATCTATTTTTCTTGTCTCCATGGTTACACAGTGGGCTTATGAGGGTTCTATGCTGACATGCCAAGACCTTGAGAAACAATGAGCGCAGCACAAGCTGAGAGGCTCTTCGGTTAATAAACCCAAGTGTACCAACTGGAAACTGGATCAGCTACAAAGCGCTCACACCTAGGCTGATGCACCACTTTCATGAATGCACCTTCTATTCACTAATTTTCTTTGTGCTCCCTTGAAATATATCCTAAAGAAATGGCTGAGTGTGGGTGTTCATAGTCCCAGCGTTGGTTCAGGGTTTTACCTGACATCATGTAGTGTTGGATTTCTCTCCTTTGTACTGCTTTGAAAGAACACTCACCAGAGCTTCTTTTTCAGGAAAAATGTAAAAGCATCTGCTATCTGCCAGTACTCCATTTCGGATATCCAATGGGCCTTTGATGGGCCTTACATGGAGAGCAACGAAGACTCCAGCTCTAAATGGGCACAGTACACAGGGAAAGTGCCAGAACCTCGACCCGGCTCGGTAAGGCCTATACAGGATTACAGCTATACTGATCCCTTGTTTCATCTTACACTGGCCTGATTATCCTCATCCCTGAAACTCTGCCTGCCTGCTGACTCTGATGGGGAAGCACAAGTCAGCACGTCACAGGTGGAGCTACTAAAGCTCTCTAACCGCTGTGCAAGGTACAGGTAGAGCGTTGATCTAGTTTGATCCAGAAATCAGACGCTGATGAGCAATTTTATAGAGTGCACATGGAGAAAAGGGGTTTATTTCATCAAAGCTTTTGCCATGGAGATTAGCAGCAGGCAGAAAATCATTGCTGATTGGCTGCATTATGAATTTTGAATCTGTGATATTTCTAATGAGTGAGTCTGAATGCTAGTGAGGGTTGATATTGCACCTTTAATTGATGTTTCGAAGTGTTTAGAAATGTAAAGGAAAGAACAATTTTGGTTTTCCCTGGCCTATTTTAGGTTTTTGGAAAAGAAGCCTTTGCTGTAAGATTTTGTTTGTGAACGCTTAGCATTTTCTGTCAGATAATTAAAATGACTGTTAAACTGTCAATTTTCAGTCAAGAGACTGAGAATAGCTGAATGTCCTACATTCTCGATGGGTTTTTGGAAATTAGTTGGTAATCCCACTGAGCAAGAAGAAGGGATAATTTCAGACCCTGCGTTGTTTGTGCCTGCTAGCCTTTCAAGGCTGTGAAAATAGGTCTGCATACAGTAATGGCCAAAAGTGATGTCTGGTAGGGATATTTGTTATTAACTCTTTTCCAGCCAGTGTTTTTGAAAAAAGTTGCCAGTCATCGCCAGCATTTTTGATCATTTTCACAAAAGTTTCTTGGCCCCCAGAATATTTTGTTGTAAGAATATCTGAACACGCAATACATCAAAACTAAGAACAGACCCTCTGCTTTAAAACATAAAACCCTGTTTTCATGAATTGTTTTTTTATTATCAACATTTAAAAAATAAGAAAGCAAAATTGAGCAAAGACTGTCTGGATCGGCATAGACTATGTCTGGATCGGATTCAGAATGATTATCAAAACATAAATGGAGTAGATCGAGTCCATCAACACCCCCAAAGCTTGCTCAGTCCTATAGCTCGTCCTGGGTCAGCATTTCATTCAGTAACGTTAGACATCAGTTTTGATTTATATGTGGTTTAAGGTTGATGGTTGCGTTATTTTACATATGCATATGCTTACATATGCTATCGCTTGTTTCTGCTTCTTCTTCGCCAGTGTTTTGATCAAGTGATCAGTCTTTCGGAAGATGCATAATAGCGTCCCCTACCCTACCGTATAACAGTGAAAACACGGAAAGCTGGAAAATACCTTTAAATCATCAAAATATAAGGAAAATATTATATATATATATATTTTTTATATTTTAAATATAAGGGCATTATTGTGTTATCACAAATAAAACAATTGACCTGACTCCAAGCACAACTATGCAAATGCTTACTAAATCATTAAAACATTTGTAATAATATTTGAATAAAGGGTAAAGAGGTCAATTTTCCTAGGACGGACATCACTTTTTGGCCACTACTGTGCATGTATTGTTGGAAGGTGACTTTACCTCGCTTGTGCTTTTCATTTCTCTTCAGTGCATCACAGATCAACTTAGAGCAAGAGGCATCAACTCATCCACCAACCTGCCAGATGACGTACTTCATTTTGTCCGTCGCCATCCGCTCATGTACAGGCAGATCCTTCCTCAAGGACAGCGCCCCCTGCTGTTTAGGAGGAATGTGGACTACACTAAAATTGCCGTACACAAAGTGACTGCTCTAGATGGTCAGATATACCACATACTCTTCATTGGGACAGGTACTGCAGTTACCTCCCTTTAGCTCTTATCTAAAACCTGGCAGTTTATTTGAGGTTTTTTGATCAGCAGGGTTGTGCAGGTCCAAATAAAATATAATCTGTAGTGGTAAATTACAGAATATATTCAGTGAAGCCAAAAAAAATGTATGAACTTCTTTGCTTTCTATAACAATTTTTATTAAAGTATTAAATCATTTATCTGAAATAAAAGTGGTGTGACACTGGAATGTCTTTCATGTGGTTTCGATGTTCCTCCAGATGAAGGTTGGCTACAGCGGGCTGTGATGGTTAATGGTCAGCTGCACATCATTGAGGAGCTGCAGCTGTTCGAGGAGCCACAGCCAGTGGACAGTATAGTCATCTCTGAGAAACAGGTGAGAAATAAGTGCCTACATTCTGGAAGTTGTAAATACATTATTACAACAGGTTGTTCCCATTATAAAATTTGCAAGTCCATTTGCATCCTGTTTAAACTTATATGGGTGTAATTTGATTTTATGCACAGCCCACAATGTGAATCTTACTACCCACTTGAACCTTTCTTTGTCAGATGAGTGTGTATGTGGGTTCACCCAGCTCAGTGGTGCAGTTGCCCTTGTCCACATGCAGCAGATACTCCTCGTGCTTCGACTGTGTGATGGCACGCGATCCCTTCTGTGGCTGGGATGGACTGGAGTGTGTGGACATTACATCACACACCAGCAGGTACGAATGCATGGTCATAAATACTAGTACCTCTGCTGTCCTTATTAACTATTTAATTAACTGAATGAAAATGTGCGATTGTGATTGACATCTCGATGCAAGTACTCTGTTAATAAGGACAGCTTTTGTTATACATGTCATGGAAGATGGAATGCGTATTGGAAAAGGCCAGAGTTGGTGAACTTTGATCAATGAAACATTGGTAACGCACAATTGGTAACTTTGCTGTCATCTAACGCTCATTTACCTGAAGTAAATCAAGTACTTGAATATCAAAAAAAAAATTATGGTGTACAATATATTGATGTGATACCTAGATTCACTTGTAGCATTAAAAATCTCTGTTTATAGTTTTAATGTTTATTTTTCGTTTAGATAATCACACATTTATCAGTGACAGGCCATTATAAGAAAATAATTAGTATCGGTCAGAATTCTAATGTCAGTGTGTCCCAAATAAAAACCTCTCACTATCTACAGAACTAATCTGACCCAGGATATTGTGAATGGAAACCAGGGCTGTGAGGAATCCACAGCAGATGGTATGAAAAACATTTGTTGTATTAGTCAGTGGTACGCTGGTGATTCAGTGTTATTTTAGTATTGTTTATATACTATTATGTTATTTATTAATATTTTGAATGAGCATTCATTTTTATATTCTCAGTTTTCATTTTAATTTCACTATTGTCTTTGTTATTGGTTTTTGTTTTCTTAAATTAAATTTAGTTTTAATTGATTTTTGCTTCACTTTTTGTTTTAGTAATTTAGTACTTTTTTATTTTTTTAACTTATTTTATTTCAGTCAGCAACTTTTGTAATTTTTCATTTCGTTTTTTTTTTTTTTCAATATTTATGTTTTATTTAAGGTTTATTTCAGTTAATGAAAACTATTTTAAGAGTTTTAGTCAACAATAACAACACTGTGATTGTTGCTTTCCAAATCAGTGTAGTCAGTTTGTCTCCTTATTCCTCAGTTAGTCATAGCAAATTGTAAATGTCAGATAAGGTGGGATGGGATGAAGTGGATATTAGCCAATATCTAAGGTCACAGGTTATTCCTAATTAGAAGAGTCCAATGAATTACCATTACTGCAGTGATATAATCAAGCCAAGTAACCCTGAATGACTAATATCCCTGTAACTGCTGTGTGTGTGTGTCATAGACCAAGTGTTACACCGCTCTCGCTCTGTGATGGCGGGTGATGACGTGCTGCTTCAGTGTGAGCTCAGCTCCAATCTGGCAACCCCTGAGTGGACGCTGGATGGAAAGAAACTGCAGGGTTACGGGCTGGACTCTGGCTACCGCGTCGGCACTGACGGTCTCCTGGTCATCGAGGCACGGTCTTACCAGAGCGGCCACTACTGCTGCTTCGCCCTGGAAAACAGTGTCCATGTTCCTGTGGTGATCTACAGCTTAACAGTTCGCCAGGAGCTTCCTGCACCTCCTCCTGTGGAGCCAACGCAGCCACACTTGACCACAGCGATCTACTGGACCTTTCAGACTTCCCAAGGTGACTCCCCGGAGGACTTCAATCCAACCCCAATGTCCCCTCGCTTCGAGTTCCTGTCCATGAGGAACATGGAGGCCATGTACCTATCCCTAATCACAATCCTAGGAGGCCTTTGTTTTGTTCTAACAGTCGTCCTGCTGTACGTGGGATTCTGTTTGCAAGGGCGGAGAGGTAAATACTCTTTGCGGGCTGCTGCTCATGCCGAAAAGAAGCGAGGTGCTCACATGGAGCTCAAGACCATCTCCAGCCACTGCAACGGGAAAGCCGACGCTCACGACGGCCTGCTTCAGATTGTTCCCGGAGAAGCAGCAACGTCACCCAACAAAGAGCTTCCTCCCGCTCCACCTCTCCCACCGCCTTCAGAATCAGAGTACGTCAATGGACTCTCTGCCACCTTACCCAGCGTCTTACGCAAGATGAATGGCAACAGCTATGTGTTACTGAGACAGACGGATGGAGATACCACGTCTCCGCTCTATTACTCCTTCACGGAGGAGCTCAACAGGATCCTGGAGAAGAGGAAGCACACGCAACTGTGTAGTAAACCTGACGAGAGCTCGGTGTGAACCGTACCTACCTTGTGGAGTTGTTTTCGAACTGCTGGTGTCCTCTAAAATGTTCAAGGGATGTATCATTGTCTAATACCCCTTTTTTTACATTTCAACGGGATGCTAATAAGTAGCTTTTATTGGAGGATAAACAAAACATTGGTGTTCTTCTAAAAGGACAAACTGCCTCTTCGTTTACATTTCAAATGTAGAGCTTTTGACTTTCAGCAGACTGAGGAATGCCCACCGCTTACAAAATAGCAAAGAACGAACACATGGAAATTCTACCTCAGCAAGTTATATCACACCGCTCTCGGGCTTATTTCAGCGTGCTTGTGTTAAAATCGGGGTTGGAGTTGGAGATGTATAGTTAGGGACACGCAGCAAGGGAATCTTCAAAGCAAAAGAGCCCATCTTGGGGAATCAAGTAAATGATTCCGTTACAAACTGGTTAGAAGAGACGTTTACAAGGCAGAATTGTAAAAAAAGCTACGAGATGAACTCAGATGGAGGTTTTGCGCCTGGACGGAGCAAGTCGTGTGAAAACTCTAGTGCTGTTAAGCACCGAATGTCTCTGATATGTCCTTTATTTGAGTATTTTCTAATTTATGCCAACACTGACCATATCGGTAACACCTTGTAATAATAATCATGATTAAGAAGAGCAGGGATAACAGACTTTGAATACAATGAGAAATCCACTTGATGGTACTAATTGTGTAAATAAGGCTTTTATTAATAGTTTCACAGGGGTGGGAACCAGGAAAGATGACAGTATTAACCACTGAGATGCACTTTATGTACCGGTAGCATTTGTTTTCCCTGAGGTGCTGCTTATTCTGACAGATCTGGAGAGGATGGAATGGATTACAAGGACGGGAAGATTGCGAATTATGTGAAAGTGACAATATGATAAAACTGTGTTTCTCTCTGAATTGAAAATGCTGCGAGATGGAAGACTACAGTATGTGGACAGAATGAGTACCTGTATGACCCTGAAAAATGGACCACTAAACATGCTAAGTCTGGATTTGTCTGATTCGGATCTGTACGTCTCTAATAAGTCAACATGCACAAGAACTGACATGATTCCTTATTGGATTCTTTCATCAGAATTCCAGTCATTAGCTGCGAGGTTTCCATGGCAACCACAGAGTAGAGGTAAAGCTGATGCTGACCTTTTTAGATTATCCTTTTGACATGACCAATTATTTCTGCACCTCTTACAGTCAGGTCTTAACAAGGATTAGCAAATTAGCGGGACGTCATGAAATTGGGCTTCTGCTGCCAGTAAATAAACTAAATTCAGTTGTAGTCGGGTCATGATGAACAATGAGTATTGTAACATGGTTATATTGGGGGGTTTGATTATCCTTTCTCTTCCAGTAAGTCCATTAAACTGTTGTGTAAATGTTCGTCCTGGAACTGGTCCAGCTTCAGCTGCCCACACTTGCGTGCAAGAGCGTTTTGGCGTATCTCCCGCTACTTAAGGAGAGCGTAGCACCTGGTTCTGTCTGTTTAGATCAGAATATGCAGATTGCAGCGGAGCCGAATGGAGAACATTAAGGCCACATGTTCAGAACAGAGCTAAGATGAGCACTGCTGATAGTGTAGTTTGCTTTCTTCCTTAATCTTTGTGTTCAGACTCATTGTTTTTGTCTTGTTGAATGATTCGGTCTTTTTTAGGAGAGTTGGACTTATTTTTTCACTTTATTTTTTATTCTAAAGTGCTTTAAGTTTAAGGCATAGTGCACCTACAAATTTTAAATAATGTCAGAATTTAATTATTTACTTACCTTCATGTCTTTACAAACCTGTACAGTATGTTGTTACTTTTTCATTGGGCTCAGTCCTTTTGAAGTATCTTTCCTCAGTTCTCAACAGTTCATAGTGACCAAAAAGGTTGCAATAAAATGAAAAATACAACACGCATTTAAAATCTTCCGAAGCCAGATTCAAAATGTATCACGATGCTCATTTTAAAGCAATGAGAAATGCACTTGATTAATAGTTAGTGCGAATAAAGCACATAAGACATGTGGACCACTTTTATGATGCTTTTATGGAGCTTTGTCATTTTTGGAGCCATTCCTATCATTAATCTTTCTTTTTTTTTACTCCCATCATCTGTCCATCTCTGAATCCCCCACAATTTCCATTTGACAAATGGCATTCATGTCCGTGCATACACCTCCATCATAGTCTCTAATGAGAGCAGAATAGATCTGCATCCACGTCTGCCCTCGACTCTCCCAGAGGGTCACAAGCTGTGATTAGATGCTTGTCTTCATGCAGCTCATATGGTCTGTGCTTGCAATGTTTACATCCCGTGAGACTTATATTCCTGCGAGAGAGGCACTCCTGCAGAATCTTCTAACATGCCAGGACAGGTTTGTGGATGAGAAATATCTTGACTGCTGCCCGCATTCAAAGTGAATTTAAAGTGCACTAGAGAGAGAACGAGATTGACAGAGAAAGATCGAAAGAGAGACTGGAGATTACATTGAAATAGATTGGGAAAAAGTCATTAAGCCTTTTATCCTCATTTAGGGCACTCGGCAGTGCTCGTATCTGCTTCCAGATTAAAAAATGTCACCTTAATGTTGCTAAAATGCCATTGGTTCTCCTGGGTGAAGTAACTGAACAAGACATGCACCTTTGAATTCTAGGCATGAGCAATTTTGGTCTGTTCACCGCATATTGCATGGCTTCAGAAAAGTTGATATAGCACATAAAGAGTCATAAAAACACTTTGGGGTCTTTTTTCATTAAATACTGTTTTTTTATTTTAATGGCAAGCTACATAATGATTTCAATTTTAGCAAATAATAGCAGCATACATGTTTGGAATGAATAATAACCAAATTATTGGGTAAAATATCCCTTCAAACAAAACAGAGCCTTTAGCCTTTGGCCATTGTGGGTTTATTTTTTTGACAGATGTCAAGAGAGTCGGATCAGCTTCTGTTTGATGCACAGTCCCAAGAAGTGAAATGAATGGATCAAGACAATATGAGATTATCAGACATTTTAGGCCTTACAAAACAATATATCCCTTTGCCATGTAATCCATAAAATATAATGGAGTCACCGCTGAGGTATATGGGAGAATTGTTATCGATCAAGTGTGTTACATAGTTTCGAGTGTAGTTCGAATTGCTATTTTCAATTCGAACTACATAATTACTTAATAAATAATTAAAGAGGTTTATGCCCTGTATAGATGACCAGAAAATACATATATTGAGTTCATTGGTCCCTTCAGTCATGCATATACTTTATTCCAGTACATACAGTATAATTCAAAAAATGTGTCAGTGGAAATATTTATTTTTTAGCTTTGTACAGTTTTGTGTATATTTATTTAATTAGTGTTTCAAACTGGGATTTTCTAAATTGTGGTTAATGGTGCATGCTATGCATATTTGCAAACATTATTTACAATTTTCGAAAAAAAAAACTAAATTAATAATATAACATAGGTGATGCTGATCATAATAATAATAATAATAATAAAGGAAATGTAATACCCATAGCATGGTAAAATTCCTGTTATTACAGTATTTTCCAAAATTGTAAAAAAAATGTTTCCAGTTGTACATGTGCTACAATGTTACACACCATTCCAACCAAGATTGTATGCTTCCTATTTCTTGTGTTCTGAAAATATAGTTAAATCTCCTGCAGAGCAGACCATGTCTCGAGTCAATTCAGTACACAGTTGTATGCCTCTTCAGTCGTGGGTAGGTTTGTGTGGGCTGCCTCTGGAACTGCATTTAATGAAGCTGGTTAGACCTACGCCTGTCACCATGGTGAAAAGACCATAGAATTATTCTGAATGTGCTTAATGTTTCATTCTTGCCCCGTGTTTGTTCAGACAGTCAATGCCCAAGGTATGAATTTAATGTGTATATTTTCCCTTTGGCAAAGTGTTATGTTTTGTGTTTAATTAACAGTAATACTACAGGGACATGCTTGCAGGGGAGGAGGCTGAGAAGTGTGAATCCATTATGTTCAACATTGGAAACTTGTAAGTCTGACATTTGTTTTGTTTACATTTTACCTAGTCAATTATTTTAATAAACTGTATTGAAGCTTCTGTTTGTGTCTTTTTGGATTGGTATTACATTAAATAAATGCAGTTTGGGCAATTTGGGGAAGTCTGAAATGAAATGCAGTCTGCTTTTATGAGTCAGACATATTCAAAATGAGGTTAGCATACCTCACCTGTGTTGATATGTAAATGCCACTTGATACATCAAACACAGCTGGAACAGGTTTTTCTGTGGTCAAGTGGTATTCACTATGACTGTTTTCTGTTTGAGAGGTGCTTCATTGATGAGGGTAGCCACAAATCACCAGTTCATCCATTAAAAAAGGAGTAGGCTAAACTCAGAAAAAAGGTTATAAAAGCTGTCACTGAGTTACCTTTTCAAAAGGTACACTTTTTTATAGGGTACATATTGGTACGTTAAAGGTACACATATTAGTACCTAAAGTGGACATATTAGTACCTAAAAGGAACAGAAGTGTACCTTTTGAAAAGGTACTGCCCCAGTGACAGCGTTTGTACCTTTTTTACGGAGTGTATTTATTGTATTATTAATAATGACTAGTTATCTAATCTGGTCAATACACATCCTGCATAAACGGGTATTAATCTGTCACCATCACATACCATATATTGTTTTTATGTGTTCGGACAATAGTTGTACCCAGAGCCGAGGAGGGAACGGTCACTGTGATTTTGCCTAGTAAGACATGTTCCCCTGGAACAACTTTCTAGTCCGAAAATTTTGTCCTAACTTATCCCTAAAATCAGAGGGAAATATGTGAATATTACTGATGTAGAAGCACCTGACCTTGGTTGCAAGTCTAAACATAAACTATAAACTTGTCCCTGAAATCTGATTGGTTGATTGAAATGTTGTTCCAGGATCAACAAAGATGTTGATCCAGGAACATGTTGTACTTGGTGAAATGACGTTCACCATAGGGACATACTGTAACTGTGAGCAATCATATGAATCTCTAAAGACATTCACCTACGGCATCATAGTAAACCATGACGTCACATGACAAAAGAAGGGTGCGGGGTTATGCTGGTCCTTATGTTGGTTATCGCCCCC